TTAAGCTTTTTTTAAAACTTCGATTTTCCGAATTGAAATGTAATGCTGATTCCAAATCTGGAAAGAAAAATAGGGTGTCCCGAGCTCGTTTTCGAGATAATCAGCATTTAATGGAAGCCTACGCACGAGCTTTTGGAGTAAAAATTGCGTCACCGGAAGTGATTAGAAAAAATTAAGATTAATAAGATAATAGTAATTTGCAGACTATATGATTGCAAGAATGAAGGCTATTCAATCATTCTACAATAATAMATGGATATTTTCGACAAAAAGACAGAGAGATACATTAATTTGTCATATTTTGTAGTTTCGGTACTCTTAAAAAATCTCATAAAGTCGAATAAAAATCGCTACAAAAATCTATTTTTTCACGTGTTCCTGATTTAAACTTTTTCTAAAATGTTGATATAACCTAGATTTTTAGGAGTTTTTTCGAATGAGCTATCAAATAATATAGAGTCCCGTGCAAAATTTGAGGGTTTTGCCCTATTGAAGCTCAAAACGCGTATTGTTCTTCAATAAAATCTTGTAGATTTTTCAGCGGTTTTTGAGCGCGCGCACATCGTGGGCTCAAATCGAACGCTCAAAAGTAGGCAGCCACCTTAAGAAAAAAAAATTTTTTTGAAGGATTTTTGTTCAAGTGATATAATCACTGTGTCTCTAATAACTGTATATTCTTTTAAGTTTATCCATCGATCGGAAAATGATGCCTCTTTATAAACACAATCATCTTATTTCTGGTAATCTCGATATAATTAATATAGAAGATATTACATGGTCGCGCGGAKATACGAATTTTATCTTCGAGTGTTCAATTGATATCTCACGAGTGAGCGCAGCGAACGAGTGAGATATCTAAATTGCACCCGAGAAGAAAAAAATTCGTATCTCCAAGCGGCAATGTAATGTTCTGTTTATTATATAAATATCGATGAAACTTAAATAAAACAAAAGCTCAAAAATTCTTTATTAAAATAGCAAGCCGATTCAACAGCGATATCTTCACGTGTGAAAGATATGATATCTTCCACTGGTGAAAGATATTTTCGACACTAGAGAAAACCTGGTATTCCATCGATATCTATATAATAATATAATTTCTTATTCATTTGATACAACCTTGCGTGCGCTCCCATCATTTGCATAAAATAGTAAACAAAAGATGTATTTTTACGACCGTCGGCAAATATCAAGCAAAAATATGAATAAAAACTTTTGAGTGATCTTCGCCATATATATATATCTAATTATGTTAAAAATTATATATGGACTTGTTTAAATGAAAAGCATTGTAATCGTTTTAATGCCGATATTTGCATGCCTTCGTGTATCATCAATAACTGAAATAACTATAGATTTTTTTTWAATTTACACATATGACTTTCGCTCTCGTTTAAGAAATACAATCAAGAATCATTTTACGAGTGGTCTATAATTCGAAATTGGCGAGAATAAGATGTTTTTTTAAAATCTCTATCATAGCCGATTATAATACATAATACCTATTCTCTTACTGCCTCGTGTCAATGATTTCACTTTTAAAATGGACTAATTACGTGATTAGGAAGGCTAGGAAAAAGAACGACGCCAATACGGGATATATTTCTTACCAACTAGCAACCAATATCAACCCGTATTTGCTTAATATCGCAATAACTTATAAATATTTTAGGAAATAATTTTCCTTCATAGCTTGGGAGTCATTCAGCCGTTTAATACAACACGAAGCTGAGGTTCAGTAATTTTCAATTTTATATTACCTGAAGGTGTTGCTGTTAGCAGAAGAACGAATATACCAAGTAGAATGTTTTCCATTTCAAACGAATGTACTTATATAATTACTATGCAGTCCATCGATTCCAACGAGATTTACAACAGAAATTATTAAGATGTCAATGCTACTGAAGCCGTGATTATTTTGATCAGCATGACCTCTTTAAAATTTCACGTGATCTTCAGTATCCAATAACAAAGCAGGAAATTGACGAAGACTCTGGCGAGTGTGTGTCTTTTGGTCGAGTGTCGAGGGTATCATTTTGCACAAGATTCAGAAACAAGTGTTTTCTTTTAAACGATAAAAGTAAAATAAAATAAAAGTCATTTATTTCTAACTGCAGCAAGCTTTATAGCTTAAACACTGATCTGCACCTTGTTACTTGTCATCACTATATGACAGGTCACGTATAAGGTTTCAATCATATCATATTTTAAACCCACCCCCTCCAAAACTACAATCCTCCTTCGAGCGTTCGTTCTTTAACGAGTTGATGTCGGTTCACATTACTAAAGACAATCTTGAACAATCTTGTGTTAAATATTTTGTAAATATTCATATTTCCAACTGGGACTAGAGGATATTTTAAAGACAACCTTAACGGAAGAGTGGACATATTGTTGTTAATTATGAATGAATGGACATAGTGAGGCTTCAAGGATAATTATCAAGTTCCAAAAATGCAATAAAATARGGCCAAACTCTTCAAACATTTCCTTATTCCATCGATGTCACGTGGAGGATATACGTCACGAAAAAATTATCGAGGGTACATTAACACACTRGAAACGTATTACAAAGCGCAATTTGAAAATAATTAGCATGGCCACAGAAAACTAATATTTATTTCATTTATTTGTTTGAGGTTTTCATCACGCTGAGTTGTAGAACATGTTAGGGACGAGGTCAAAACAATGGTTCAAAATAGGGACCCGATTTTATGAATTAAGGTGGTGGGTACCGGTACATACCCCCTCCCCCCTCAGAGACCTGTTCAAATGCTCGATACTGGGGGTCTGTAGTGGCAATTTCTACACACAAATATGTTTTTTAGCATACATGCAGACAGACAGTCCGTTCATTCCTGTGATTTGGCTTTTAGTTTTGGAGATATTTAGGGACAAAATCTAAGATTTCACTTCCAGAGGTGGTGGGTATCGGGTAACGCCACCCCTCCCCCTAAATCGGGTCCAGTGAGATGGCAATTGTTTTGCCCTCATCCCTTATGGTAAAAACTGACTTAAAGGCCCCGACTAGGCGCGCCCGCAATCAAAACATGACGTTACCAAGACAGCATACTGAAAAGAGAGGGAAACTTCTTAAAGGGGGCTTGTAAAGTCCGAGTAATGGAATTATTTGAGGATAATTTGACTCGATTATGATTATGTAAACCAGATTAGTGAGCGTTTTCACCTGGGAGCCACTTGCAGTTGAGAAATTTTGGGTTAAAAGAGAAAAGAACAATAGGGTTGAGTAAATGACGTCATTTACTCACAATTTATATGCTGCATAAAATTGATAATTTTTATCCGATATATTTTASAGTGAAGAAAATATGTTGCTTGGCTACTATCTGGGCCATATAGATAAGTTTCAACAAGTTTCAAGTCATTTCCAATTTKCATCCATTTTTATCCAAGTGCCCCTTTAATAACGCGCGCGTCATAAAAATTCCCGGTTGGGCTATTTTTAGTAACCGGATTCGACTAAAATTTCGCCTTACCCTACTCCCGTGCGTCATTAACTTGAGCACGTTTGCTCTTTGCGTTTATTGTTTTGATGACTAAAAACGAAACGGAAAGAGCGCACGCGCGCAAGACTGGAGTAGGGTAAGGCGAAATTTAATTTGCATCCGGTTACTAAAAATAGCCCAACCGGGAATTTACATGGCAAGCGCGCTATGTTAAGAAGTTTGCCTCTCTTATTTATGCTTTCTTGACGTTACTAATAGGACGTTTTAGTATAATTTTATGCTTGAATATAAAGTTCATCGCGCTGTGATTGGTCCATCGACCAGTAATTGTGAGACGACATTCACTGCTCGAGCTCTGATTATGAGATTTTCCAAAGTTTGCCAGAGTGAATGTAATACTAAAACGTTTTTTTTAAATAATCAGAGAACCACAGGGAACCCAATCCAATTTACTTGTTATTTATTAAGAAAAATATCAAATTTTCAGTGTTTTATTTTACATAAGATAGTTAACACCAAGCATAACAATAATCAGCGTGACAATAGCCTCCACACGAAGACCCTCATTACACAGGTCATTAGCACAACAAGCAAATTCACAATCACTGTGTCCTTTACACAACTCCAGACAAACGTCTTTTTCGCTGCAGGATTTGCCGATCTTGCTACCAATCTTTAATGTCATGCATGTCTCGTTAAGCGGGGTAGGGCATGTCATCACTCTAGTCTTGCAGTTGATACTGTCAGTACAAGTGTAGCATTTGAGGAAATATGCTAAAGGAAAGAGATATAATCGTGATAATAAAGGTGAGTCGGGGAGTCGGGGAGTCGGGGAGTCGGGGAGTCGGGGAGTCGGGGAGTCGGGGAGTCGATACTGTCAGTACAAGTGTAGCATTTGAGGAAATATGCTAAAGGAAAGAGATATAATCGTGATAATAAAGGGGAGTCGGGGAGTCGGGGAGTCGGGGAGTCGGGGAGTCGGAGAGTCGGGGAGTCGGTGAGTCGGTGAGTCGGTTAGTATCACGGTTTATAATTAATAGATCTCTTTCACGTATACAGCAGCCATCTTACATTAAGGGGTGCCCAGGGAGCAAAATAGAAATATTATGATGCATAGAGTACGAAGGTACTTTTTCAAATGATTTTACGCTTTGGTGCTTTACATATCGCTCCAACAACCAGCAAATTAAATTTTTTTTATTTGTTTTTCACAGTAGATAACGTAAATATACATAAAAAGACGCCCTGACAGCTGTACTGTCTATATATTGTCCAATATTTGCTTCCTCGGATTCCCATAATGGCCGCCGTATGACTATCAGTAAAAAAAGGTCTTTTAGTAATTCTTTGACTTCGAATAGCGCAGCGCAACCCTGACCTCTTAAAAACGAAGACAAAGGCGAAATTCGGACAAACAAACTTACAAGTTTACTTTCAGCAGATAATTTTCACAGCCGATCGCAGTTGATCTTAATTTACATGGGTTATTATTGTAACTTTAAGTAAAAATAATAAAATCGGTTCGTATAATCCTCGTAGCGGTTAAACAGAATGCAATGTTTATCCGAATCTTTAAGCTATTTCTAGAATCAGTGCGCTGCGCTATTCATAACATTTAACATTTTAGAATAATTGATAGATATTGGTCACACCATTGTGTATTATTCTTTGACAAGATTATAACTAATGATAGGAATTAATCTTAATTGACATCTTATATCGGTCATTATAAACGCAATACACTCCATTCCCATGACACATGATAATATCTTTAAACTTCAGCTAAAATATCAAATAAATTTCCTTTAAAACTCGTAGAATTATTTATAGCAAATAATCTGCCGGCGCTATAAATTACCAATTTTTATTGATTATTCTCATTGATTTACTTCAATTATTATTATTGTCTTAATTATTGATATCTTGAATCGAATTACTTTATATTTTGCAATTTAGTGTGTTCCTTTTTTATATTTTGTGTTATTTTTTTTACGAGTATAGTTTTCAATTAATATATCACTTTTAAGTTACACTTCGTTCTCATTCAAGACATTCTATATCGGGAGTGAAACTAGATATATAATCCAGCTGTCATGATTGACTGGTCTCATACTAATGTTTTTCGTGAATTTGAGAAGCAAAAAAAACTTATAACCAATTCATTTAATGTTTCCTAACTTTTTAAATCTATTCTTTCTCAAACGATCTTCTTTCAACTACAATGGCAATGTATGTTCGTCCATATTTGATATTATATTTTCGAATAAAAAAAATGCATTACAAATAATTCATATAATGATGAAATTCTCTGAAACAGAACAAACTACATAGTTAGAAAGTTAGTTCACGCGCAGAAGTAGGCTTAAATTTTGGCCAAAAAGGGGTTACTGCGGTTTTCGATATTCTGTGAACTCAGACATTCCAACAGCTTTTTGTGAAATTGGTATTTCCTTGCCGCCAGTCAAGGACATAAAAGGTACTGACTGATTATTTTTTAAGTGAAGGCAACAAAAAAACAAATTTCAGCGTGCAGCTTGTAAATACCGAGTTTGCAGAATATCTAATATCAAAGTAAAGCTACCTGTAGGAAGAAGAGAGAACAAAACCAATGTGAAGACAGCGTTCTTCATTTTTTTCCTCAGTTGTTTTTCTAAGGTTTGTAGCACTTTAGTTTTAGTTACGTGCTTTGGGGACACAGAAATAATGGGTTGAGCGATCAAGCACAAAACAATCCAAGTAGAGGCTCCTGGAAAACAATAGAGTAATCGTAATTATTCTGTTGTTTCCTCGGAGCCTCGACTCGGATTGTTTCGGGCTTAATCACTCAACCAGAATATCGAAAGCTGGTTGTTCCTTTTTACATCCCGAGGAGCAAGTGCACATTACGATGACCCCTTACGTTTACACACAAATACATACCTCTTTCCCCTCGCTGTCCACGCTGTGGACGCACACCTTTTCTCCGTATACATATCTTATTAGTTATTCATTTGTATTGCCGACACATAGAATATAAGACTGCGTTCATAATGTATGGCAGAGGGGGGGGCAGGTGAAATTGAGGGGGGATCGGGCAAATTTTGGTAGGAAAAAGGGGTAGATGGGCAAATTTTTATCAGAAAAATGGGGGGATGCACAATTTTTGGAAGAAGCTACAAGCCTTGCTTAGTTGGGGTCGTATTTTTTTGCATGACTTTAAGGGCGGGGGGGGGGGGGGGGTGTTAAGGGTTATTCTGGACATTTCAAATTTTCACCTCCCTCTGCCACACATTATGAATGCAGCCTAAACTATTTCAAACCAGTTACAACAATATTCATTGATTATGACGGATATGATTCTGGTTGCAAGCAACGTTCACATTTTTGACGACACCCCTTTAATTTCCTGTCCAACCAGGACTAAAAATATCACCACGTTTCTCGTCTAACATCATCTTTCACTTCATTTGCACGAATAATGGATTATATACTCCAGAATCATAAAAACGCAAGCGAAAACGGCTCATACAAATTTCCGTCTCAACGGCAAAAACAATGGTCTCAACCAATACCATCGAACAAAAAAAGAAATCGAAAATTTGCATRTATGTAAGATAAAAGCGTTAGAATAGAAGTACTTGATATAACAGCTTGTTCTGGTGATTATGTAAGACGGACTCTTGAGAAAATAATCAACTTGATCCAATTTTCTAGTCTATCTAGGTACCTTCTCACTGCGTGAAATCAAAGGTAAAAGAGTATTAACGAATCTTCGTTCATCCTTTCACAGTTGATCAATTTAAGAGTAAGTATCTATTTTGACTTTTATCAGAATTACTGTTACCTTCGACAGGCAATTACTACTGAATAGCTCTTGAAAAAAACTCAAATTGTATGTTTTTTAAAACACTATTTTTTATTTTATTTATTTATTTTTTATTTTTTTAAATAATCTTTATTCCATCCATCAAAACAGAAAAAAGAAAAAAAAGAAAATTATTTACAAATACATTAATATAATTTAAAGATCCGTTTCCATTCTCTTTGACTGTCTTCAACTAAGTGTGTTTCCTGAGTGAAAATTATCCCCATAGAGGCACCGTGATTGAAAAGCCAATGAAACATTTTTCTCTGCTTTGCATAGTTTCCAAGTCCCCTGACATTAAGCGACATTATCTCAAAATTAAAACGGTTAAATGCCATTTAATATGTAGTAATTCTGTTGCAATCCTCCTTAGAAACACTAGTTATTAAATAACTTATAGTAGATAAATCRTTAAAGCATTAGATTGTATACTAAAAATATATATATATTAAATACCATGTTCATTTGCTAATTTCGACCCGGCAAAATGATCGATGCATTTTTTG